TCGGCAGCGGTCCACACTGGCGTGTATGTTACCCGTGTGTGTGGAGTATTCCTTCTATTGATTTCTAGTTCATTGGGAGTCCACAGAGTGTGCTGCTGCCAAAAAGGCCAGCAGAGGCTTGGATGTGGTGACAGTGGCCACAACAGGGGACAGGTGCACCGCTGGATGGATATGCCACATTCTCATGAGCTGACAGACAGTGGGCTGGTTTCTAGTGTGGGGCTAATATGAATAAAGCAAGTGGAAATACTCATATAAGGGTTTGTGTAGGCATATATTTTCGTCCCTCTCAGAGTTACCCAGGGGTGGGATTACTGGGTTATAGGATTGTTGTTAATTGCCGCTCAGTGGATTCTGAGTCATGGTGTGCACAGTAGGACTTCTCCAGAGGGTTTGAAGGTGACCTTCTGGAAGCAGATAACCATTCCTGTCTTTTTCTTGTTGTGTACCGTCGAGTCGGATCCAACTGGCACAGGAGGAGATTGTCCCTCCTTCTCCAGCAGAGCATCTGGTGGATTCGAACCACCAGTCCTATCTTCTGAGTCACCTGCAGGTGGTATGGTATGTACATGTTGAAATTTGCGGGGGAAAAAATCTCCAACAACCCCAAAACAATACAAAAAAACCCAAGAAACCAAATTAAAACCCTGCCTGTTTTCCAAAGCTGTTATTCCTCTTCACTTACCATACTTGAAATTGTCAACTTACAAGAATATTAACATTTTAGTGGAGGTATAGTGGTATTGTATTGCAGTTTTACTGACAAATGTTGTTAAGCAACTTCTTAGGTGCTTGTTTGCCATCTGCTTATCTTTGATAGAGTTTTTCTGCACATTTTAAAAGTAGAGCTGTATTTAACTTTCAAGAGTTTTTTACATATGCGTCCTGGATACAAGTCATTCATCAGATACATGTTTTGCAAATATTTTCTTTGCCATCTGTCACTTTTTTCTTTTTCTCAGCAGTATCTTTTGAGGAGAAAAAAGATTTTCATTTAGATGAAATACATTCACCAGTAATTTCTCTTATAACTTTTGCTTTGTGTGTTCTACCTAAGGAATTTTTGCCAAAGCTAAGATCATGGGTATTTCCTCTTGTGGTTTCTTCTAGAAATTTCATCTTTTTTGACTCTTAAATTAGGTATATAATATACTCGGACAAGGAATCTGTCCTCTGAACAGAGCAAGGAAACACCACATGGTTTAAAATCAGTGCATCTGGGATGTGTCCTGTCTCCATACTTATTCATCTATATGCGGCACAGATTATTCGGGAGGCTGGGATTTAAGAGGAGAAATGTGGCATCAGGATTGGAGGAAGATTCATCAACAACCCATGATATGCAGATGACACAACTTTGTTTGCAGAAACTGAGTAGGGCCTGAAGTGTTTGCTGAAGGTCAAGGACAAGGTCTCCAATATGGATTGAAGCTCTATATCAAGAAAACAAAGATTCATACCACAAGGCCGGGTGGAAGCATCATGATAGATGGATAAGAGATTGAGGTTGTTCACAATTTTTGCTTGCTCGGATCTACAGTCAACACTTTTGGCATCCGCAGTCGGGAAATCAAAAGATGAATAGCATTGGGAAAATCTGCTGTCAGGGATCTCTCCGAAGTGCTAAAGAGCGACAATGTCAGTATAGAGACTAAGATGTGCCTGATTCAGGCCACGGTCTACACAACTACTTAACATCAGAGAGCTGGACAATGACTAGGAATGACAGAAGAAGAATTGATGCCTTTGAGTTGTGGTCCTGGAGAAGAGTATTGATCATACCATGAACCACCAAGAGAACAAACAGGTCTGACTTGGAGAGGGTGAAACCAAGTTTCTCCTTGGAGGCAAGGCTCTTGCAGCTCCATCTGACAAACTTTGGGCATGTGGCCAGGAAGGACATCATGCTTGGGAGGGTGGAGGGACAGCGCAGGAGAGGAAGACCCTGGATGAGATGGATTGACACTGTAACTGGGGTAATAGGTAGGTGTGTCGGAGACAGTGAGACTGGCTCAGGATAGGGCAGGCTTCGTGCTGTTGTACATAGGGTCACTATGAGTTTCAGGTGACTCGGCGCATAACAGTGCACTTCAGTTGACTTTTGATATGTTGTGTGAAACAAAGGGTCAAGATTATTTTTTTGGCATAGGAATTTTAGCATATGAATATCCAATTAGTTCAGTACCATTTGTAATAACACTGTTCTCCCCTTGACTCACCATCACACGCTGCTGAAAGTCAGCTGATGTGTGGGTCTGCTTCTGATCTCTCCTTTCTAGTCCCTTAAACCTTTTGTCTTTTTTGTTCCTTATTTGGTTTTACATTACACCAATTACTGGAGCTTGATAATAGGTCTTGAAATCAGACAGTCCAAACCCTCCAATTTTTTCCTTATATTTCATAATTGTTTTGGATGTTCTAGGTTCTTGATTTTACTTAAAGATTTTATAATAAGCCTTTTTCTTTCTATAGGAGGAGAGCTTTAGGTTAGAAATGCAATTTCCTACAAATATTGCATAATGCCACTGTTGTAAAACATGACTGACTTCAGGGTTGAGGGGAGACTGAGAAATAGGGGATAAACGATGTATACTGCATTGAAATAGATGAGGGAGAGAACTGTTTCAATATAAAGGGATATATGATTAGGTATTATTGTCATGACAGGAGTCCAGAAGGAAGGCTGCATAGTGGAGTGGACTTGGGGGGAGGGATTGTATAACAATGAAAGAGTTTTTCATTTACTTTTCAAAGAGAAGAACAAATTGAGGGGGAGGAGTGGGCAGGGAGAAAAGTGCAACAATGAATGAATGGAAACCCTAAGTCTCTGTAAATGTTCATTATAATTAATAAAAAAATTTATTAAAATAAAAAAAAGAAACTCAATTTCTGCTAAGGTCACCACCCTGACCATGCATGACAACAGGGCGGCCTAGCAAACAGACCAGGGTCTTGCATCTTTCAGTCTTGCCAAGATCACTTAGCAATCTTATGTCAATCCTTTTAGGATTTTCTGAATTATCATATAATCTTCAATAAAAGACAGTTTTATTTCTTCAAATCTTTTTCTGCCCAATCCCTCTCTCCTCTATTCTTGAGTTTTCAATTAAAGGGAGGTTAAACTGCTTGGCTTGGTAACTTGCAGTAACTTGGTAAGTTACTGAGGTTCTGTTCATTTGGAAGTTTCTATCAACTTACATTCACGCTCGCTGGTTTTGGGATTTCCCTCCTCCTGTAAGTTCAATCTGCACTTTAGCCCATCCATTGAAATTTTCATTTGAGATATTGTATTTTTAACTTCTACAGCTTCCCTTTCTCAGTTTAGATTCTCATCCCCGCCTCCCCATTACGTCCATCTGTTTCCTTAAATCCTCGGACATGTTTCTAACAGCTGCTTTAAAGTCTTTGCATGTAATCCTGGTCTGAGTCTAGCTCTAGTCACTGTTTCTGCTCCTTGATCTGTATCACACTCTCTGGTCTTTTTTCTCCTATCTAGTAAGAATTACTCTGCCTTGTATAGTGTAAATGTGCAGCCAGAAGTCTTCTCAATGGCGTATTACAGGTATCATTATATATTTTTTTTATTGAATGCAGGGATGATATAAGGCATTGAGAGGGAAGCAGAAGAGACAGAAGACCCTAACCTGGATTTGTATTTTATCTGTCACTAAAACACTAGCCTCTGGAACCATTAGTCTATGAGGTGGTGGTGGTTGTTGTTAAGTGCCGTTGAGTTGTAGATGACTCTTAGTGACCCTATGAATGAAAGACCTAATTAAACACTTGTGTAACAATCATCGTTTCTCCAAATTCATAGTGTTTCCAGAGGCAAGCTGTTTCAGAAGTGGATGCCACTCCTGCTTCCAAGCTTAATCGGGGAGCTCCATCAAACACTGTCCACCATGGGTAACCATTATTGCATTTGACATATCAGTGTCACAGTGCTTAGTACCACAGCAACCACAAGTTACCTCTACACGGCAAGTGGACAGAATAGTGCTATGCCACTTAGAAGAATGTTTGACCAAAAAAAAAAAAAAATTAAAACCAGGCCTGAGGGCAGCAGATTAAAATCACCCACTTTTGGTAGCATCACTTTCTGTCCACTAGGCCAACAGAGCTCTCTATATCCGTGAGGTAGAGGAGGATATATTTTCATAAAGACTGAAATGTAGTGTTGAGAGTAAGTACAGGTGGAAAGTAGGGCTGACATGGCTTTGCAGATGTGAGCTTCACAGATGAGGTCTGTGTGATGTAGCCGTGAGCACTGGGCACGACTTGACTTAGCAGAGGAAGACTGTGGTTACCTGGGCACTGCTAAGTGATGGGGAGGGCCAGCAGAGCCTGGCGTAACAAGGACGGCGAGTAGAGCTGTCTCAGGAGGAGAGGTGACCTTGGCGGGAAGCAGCCTCAGCCCAGATGTCCTAACCCTCTAGGTACTGTCAAGTTGCCCCCTCCCTGTTCCAGGAAGACGCTGGATTTACAAAGGTGCACCTTCAATCTCCACTCCTGCCCTCCCGTAGCCGGAGGCTGGTCTCTCACCTGGCAGAGAGGCTAAGATCTCTGGAAAGGGAGACGCTGAGAACACTTTCCACAAAGGGACAGAAGGAGAGACAAAATGTAAAGGAGCCAGAAGACAAATGGAGAAGGCTGTCCTCCACAGCACCTTTCCTCGGGCAGAAGGACCAACACACAGAACCAGTGGTAGAAGCATCTTTATCACATTATCATGCTGCTCTCCCCAGCACCCTGCTCACCCCAGCACCCAGCATTGTAAACCTGCAATCTCCAAACCCAATCTTTTATCCTCTGAAGAACACACAATCGGCTTTGGGGCCACCCAAGGAGGTTTAGGTGGGGGCTTTGGCTCTCTAATCTCAAACTTGCTTCTTAGGAAGCTTAGAATCAGTACGGATTTTTCAGGGGGCCCGAGGGTGGCTTTGGGGGTGGGGGAGGGGAGGATAATCTATAAGAGGAATGAGAGGGGGTGGGGGCATCCCATGGGCAAGATGTCAGGGGAGGAGGAGGAGGAGTTTTATTTGTTCAAGAACATCTCCTCAGTGGGACCTTGGGACGGGCCCCAGTACCACATCGCCCCAGCCTGGGCCTTCCACTTCCAAGCAGCCTTCATGGGCTTTGTCTTCTTCGTGGGGACCCCCCTCAATGCCATCGTGCTTGTGGCCACTCTGCGCTACAGGAAGTTACGTCAGCCCCTCAACTACATCTTGGTCAACATATCCCTGGCTGGCTTCCTCTTCTGTATCTTCTCTGTCTCCACGGTCTTCATCGCCAGCTGTCATGGATACTTCCTCTTTGGTCGAACTGTGTGTGCTTTGGAGGCCTTTCTGGGATCCGTGGCAGGTACTGGGGGTGGATGAAGAACAAAGGGGGGAAGGCGGAGGACCTGCTCCAGTCTGGGTCGGAGGGGGCCCCTGAAGAGGAGTTGAGGCGTAAAAGCTGTGTCTTTTTTTGAGTGCTGACAAAACAATGTCTGAGACCCCACTCTAGTCCAACCCTCTGACTCTGTGCCTGCCCCACCTTGTCTGTGCCCCCACTCCCGTGGCCAGGCTGGGCAGGGCTCTGTCTAACCCATCACCCTCACATTTTACCACAGGTCTGGTGACAGGATGGTCACTGGCCTTCCTGGCCTTCGAGCGCTACTTGGTCATCTGTAAGCCCTTTGGTAACTTCCGCTTCAGCTCCAAGCATGCGCTGATGGTGGTCCTGGCTACCTGGACCATTGGTATTGGTGTCTCCATCCCTCCCTTCTTCGGCTGGAGCCGGTGAGTGGGAGGCAATGGTGCTGACTTCACAGGACTGTGGGGAAAGAGCCTGGGCACATGGTCTCTCAGTCTTTGACCTCTACTTAAAATAGAAAAAAAAAAGAGTGATGGAGTATGTGAGGTTAAGAGGCTCCGGGGCATGAGTACTAACATTTACTCTCTATTTGAGATTACTATTACCTTTGGCTCGGGAGTTCTGGTGATTTAGCAGTAAAGGATTGTGCTGCCAACCCGAAGGCTCAGGGTTTGAATCCACCAGTTTCTCTGTGGGAGAAAGATGGGCAGATCTCCTCCGGTGCAATTTACAGCTCGAGAACATGCTGGAGGGGCAGCTATGAGTCAGTCCTGACTCAATGGTATTCAACTACCAGACCAATACAACCTTTAACTGAGGAGCTCTGGTGGCTCAGTGGTAACGAGTTGCATTGTTAACCCAAAGACACGCGGTTCAAATCCACCACCTGCCCTGCAGGAGTAAATCTCATCCAGTGCTATTTACTGCCTCTGAAAACCTGCCGGAGCATCAGCTATGAGCTGGTTCTGACTCGATGGTGCCCTACAACATTACCTTTAGCTGGGGAAAGAATGCTGGTGACTTAGTTCATAGAAGCATGTTGCACGATGAACTAAAAGGCTGCTAAAAGGCATTCAAATTTACCTCTGCTCCGCAGAAGAAAGATGGGCAGTCTCCCACGTCAGTGTCTTAACAGCCTCGGGAACCCGATGCAGGGTCATTTAGTCCACATCAGCTGAGTTGCTGCGAGGTTTTGGCTTTCCCTGACAATCTCCCAGCCTGAGGTTGTCTGACATCTCTGGGTCTAAGTGAACACGATGCAGCCGTCTCAGCTTCTACTGCACTGATTCTTGGGGGAAGCCACAGGAACCCCGTGTCTGTGTTTCTGGTCCTTTGCAGGTTCATCCCAGAAGGCCTGCAGTGCTCCTGTGGCCCTGACTGGTACACCGTGGGGACCAAGTACCGCAGCGAGTATTACACGTGGTTTCTCTTCATCTTCTGCTTCATCGTACCCCTCTCCCTCATATGTTTCTCCTACTCCCAGCTGCTGGGAGCCCTCAGAGCTGTGAGTGGCTGTGAGGGTCACCGAGTTGGGGGGGGGCAGAAGGAATGGGTGATCGCTCCAGAGCATGAGACATGTGGAAATGCCCACAGCAAATACAAGGGTTATGGCAAAGCACTGAAGTGGCGCTGAGTATGAATGTAGGGTGAGGGGTGTCATCCCTGATCACATGGGTGGACTCCTAAAGTCAGGATGCACAGAGCAGCCCCCAGCCACCCTCAAACAGCACCACAGACTAGACCAGAAGCTGAGACAGTGAGCAGCAGCAGCTTGGGTGTCCCCGCCCATAGAAGAACACTGAGAAATGGGACCTTAGGACCATGGGGGGGGGGGCGGGGGGCCCGGGGATGAGGGTGTGTCTGCTCTGCCCCAGGTCGCGGCCCAGCAGCAGGAGTCTGCGACGACGCAGAAGGCTGAGCGCGAAGTGAGCCGCATGGTGGTGGTGATGGTGGGATCCTTTTGTCTCTGTTACGTGCCCTACGCTGCCTTGGCTATGTACATGGTCAACAACCGTGACCATGGGCTGGACTTACGGGTCGTCACCATTCCTGCCTTCTTCTCCAAGAGTGCTTGCGTCTACAATCCCATCATCTACTGCTTCATGAACAAGCAGGTAACGCTCTTATGTATCAGCTCTGAAGGAAGTCAAACCTGTGCATGCCAGTCCAAATGCCCGCTGGGAATAGGTGTTTCTACCCAGTACTCAGGAAGGCCCATTCACTCACCATTACTAGAAGATATTCAGCTGGAAGGGATCTGATGGTGCAATGCTTGAGTCTGGAGCTTACCCAGAAAGGTTGGTGGTTCAGACACTCCATGGGAGAAAGACTAGGACGTATCTTTCCATAAAGACCACGTCCTACACATCCTTATGAGGCAGTCACATCGGGTCACTGAGGTTTAACTGACTCAACAGCACACAACTCCCAACTGAAAAGGATTGCCAGTTCTGTGTAGATCAAGGAAGTTCATAATGAATTCATCTCTGGGATTAAGGAGACAAAATAACGGAAAATTATCAGTGCAGGATTTTTTTCTTTTAAAGACTGGAAATTCCCATAGCTTCATCTGCATTTTGGTGGTTTATGTGCTCAATTCAGGATTTGGGACTGGCCATCTGGAAGCTCTGGTGGCTTAGTGGCAAGAAGCTGTGCTGCAATCCTGAAGGCATGTGGTTTGAATCCACCAGCCGCTTTGAAGAGAAGGCTGGCAAATCTCCTGTGCGATTAACCGCCTCTGAAAAGCTGTAGGAGGGTCAGCTATGGGTCGGTTCCGACTCAATGGTACCCAAGCCAACCACCACTCTAGAAACGGAATCAGACGCCCAGTGGCCTAGGGACGTTGAGAACCACATCAGGATCTTCTCAGAAGGTAGATTCTGATTCAGCATATCTGGAGTAAAAAAGTAAATTCTCAGTAGAGAATTTATTCTCAGAATAAACTGCTTGAGAATTCTGCTTAAACTCACACTACCAAGAGCTCCACTCAGGACTCCTCAGTGTGGGTAAGGAAAGGTAACAGAAGCTGCACGTAGGCTGGGAAACTGGCGGTCAAAGAGAGAAAAGGTATGATGAGCAAAACAATAGTATTTTACTGAGCCGTAAGAATCAAGTTGTTCCAAAAGGCAGAATTGACATGTAGCTGTTCCATTTTAAAAAAAAAAGTGATGGTCAGTTGTTCTCCTAAGTGTTGGAAGTGACCCATAGCTGACCCTCTGGTGGGTTTTCAGAGGCTGTAAATCACATGGGAGAATGCCCATCTTTATCCTGCAGTGCAGCTGGTGGATTTGAACTGCATACCTTCGGGTTAGCAGTACAATTCTACCCTTCACAAGCTTTTTTGTCTCTTCTACCTTCTAGCCTACAGAAGCTTGTGCCAAGCACAAAAACCCCTAACATGTGCATGTTATCTCCAGAACAGCTTATCATCTGAAGGTACCAGGTAGCCAGTGCCAAATCTTGACTTGAGCACATAAACCACAAAAATGGAGATGATGCCAGGGACATTTCCGGTCTTTTAAGAGCAAAAATCCTGCACTGAGAATTTTAAGTTATTTTGTCTCCTCAATCGCAGCGATGTTTTCAGGAATTTTGAACTTCCTAGACACACACAGAACTGACAGTTCTTCTCAACTGGGAGTTGTGTGCTGACGAGTCAGTTTAAACTCAGTGACCCAATGTGCCTGCCTGTAAGGATATCTAGGATATAATCTTTATGGAACAACATGTCCATGTCTTTCTCCCATGGAGTGTCTGACCACCAACCTTTCCAGTTAAGCTCTGGACTCAACCATTGCACTACCAGGTCCCGTCCAATTGAGTATCTTCTAGAAATGGTGGGTGAATGGGTCATCCTTGGGGCCTTTTTTTGCGGGCTTCTCTTTCCTGTTTGAGGTTTCACAGCAGTGCACACTCAGCAAGAATGTTCAAGATGATTGCAGACCCAGAGTAGTCCCAGGCTGTTATCAGTTGATTTTCAGAATTGGGAGGATGTATTCAAAACCATTTAATCGCGTCTGGGGTTATAAGCAGCTCTGGGGAGCAAATGAAGCTCTCCTGCCCACACTAGCTGTTGTCTGCCTGCACTGACTAGCTGAGGGCTCCCCCCAACTCTTCACTCTCCTTCAGTTTCGAGCCTGCATCATGGAGATGGTGTGTGGGAAGCCCATGGCAGAGGAATCGGACATATCCAGCTCCCAGAAGATGGAAGTTTCTACTCTTTCCTCCAGCCAAGTTGGCCCCAACTAAGGATCGCATACTGTTTGGCAGCAACCAGAACTTTACAACTGAGTAAGTTTTTCTCTGTCTGAAACTAAGGGTAGCAGTCTGTATCAAGTTCTTATTTTCCTATTATTTTTCCTGCCCACAGGCCCACTGTTCCCAGCCTGGACTACTTCAGATGAGACTCAAAGCCACTGGTACAGTCAGTGTCTACTACAGAAGGCACCATTCACAGAGCCTAGAGAACGGAGTTCTATACACAATGCATTATAAAGATAGGGGATTTTATTCCAATGTATGGAGAAGATGCTGTTAGTTACATTTCCTTTACTTCTGGGAATCTGCTGTAAGATGCTGGTTTCTGAATTAGAACAAACCTAGTATGGTTAGAAACAGACAAGCCTCACCCCTAAGCCAGCATCAATTATTTCAAGAGTCCACGTGTTTCCCTCAATTTGGGTGGACCTAAATATGTGTTAAAGTTAATAGCTGTGTACTCAAAATGAACGTACACCTTTTAATATTTTTATTTATACCAAGTATAAAAAGTTCTTTTACCTTATATTTTATATTCCTCCCTCTCCCTCCAAAAAAGAGCCTTTTGCGGGGAAAAAAAAAAACAAACCCCAAACAAACAAAAAACCCAAGACAGATGCTGTGCCTGCACTCAGGAGTGGCCGTGCCGGGCGTCAGATCATTACGTAACGAGCAGCTGGGCTGCTTTCCAGTCATATGGCCTGAGGGAAGCAGAGGACATAGCGCGGTGAGGATGCTAAAGGATGCCAGAAACTTCGGACATCAGCTAGAGTAGCCAGTCTGGGAGATGGTTGTCATTCCTCTGCATTTACTAGGGACTAACAGAGTCTGGTGAGCCTTCTGGAGCTCCCTTTCTGTGGCAGCTCATAGCACCCATATTTCTAAGCAAAAGTCCTAGTTTCTAGGGAATGAAAGACACACATACCCACAAGGAATGTAAACAGTTTTATTTAGAAACAGATAGGTACCTGTTTGCATTACAGAATATAAAACTTGGTTTACACTCTATAAAAAACAACCAGTATCCAAATTCAAGAGAGCTAGCATTCACAGAACACACAATGTGGGTGTGTTGCTACTGCTCACCAGCCTCAGGCGAGATTTAAACCAAAAAACACAGTCCTGGGAAATGAGTAAATGCTTGCTGAGCTCCCAGAATCCAGATGTTTCTGTCTTGGCAGAGAAAGGTCTGCTTTCTAAGTGAGTGACCTGAACACTGGGTTCTATGCACCTAGGGAGCTGGAGGCTCTCCTGCCACACGATTCATGGTGTGCTCTCGCACTAAGTCAGGGTCGGTGCCATGGACCTATTTACTGTCCCTAGTCTTAACAATGACAGCGGGAATCTGGAGGAAGAGAATGAAGAATTTCCGTTTTCCTTTCCTTGATAATGGGTTTAATTTTTATTTTTTTTTAGAAAAAAGGTGTGTGTGTACATACTCAAGAGCTCTCTCCAATCAAAGGCTGTGGTAAAATTACATGATACTTGGCTTATCACCATACCAACAGCCCCCCAACATGATCATGGAAGACCAAAGGATATACCTAGGTTCAGATTCTTATACCTAGGTTCAGGTTCTAATACTCATCCAGCACCACCTGACTGTAATATTCAGAAAGATACATGAAATAATAAAGGTTATATACACATATGCTTTTCTTAGTAACCTGAGGGCTAAAAACTTAGAATACAATAACTCTTTTTAGAAGAGGTCCATCTGTAAGAAAGGGACCAGAGACAGTTCATGCTCTGTCAAATACAGGTGAAGTAGAGTTGGGAACACAGGGCTGTCTCATCAGCTTTTTCTACACCATCCTTCCTTTCAGTAAGGACTGACAACCTGTCGATCCATAACAAACATTTGTGGGAGAGGAGAGGGAGAGAGTGCAAACAGGGAGGGATTTAAAGGCAGGCAGGCAGGCAGGGTGAGCGATGGTCCTCACACCAGCGAGCCCTCTCTGCGGGTCCTCTCCAAGTCTGAGCTCCAGCTCACCGGCAGACACAGCAAGAGGCCTGGGAGTAAGTGGTTTGCATTGTGAGGTACGAGGATTCCTGGGATATTCAGCAGCACGTGGTTTCTGGAAACCAGCCCGTAAGAAGAGAACACTGCACTCGAGCTCCTAACTAATACTGCTATTTAACCACTGTCCAAGAGACGGAGAAGGGAAAGAAATTCCCCTTACACATTGCGAGGGTCTAAGCTTTCCTGTAAGAGGATCCAAATAATCTTCTCTATTTTATCTTAGGGTTTAGTAGGAACGTCTTATTCAAGGATTATTTCTCATCTGTTCAAGGCACTTTCAGTGACATGTTTAGGGAGGAGTACATTTTAATTGCAGTGGAAACAAGATTGGTTCTTTAGTTCAATTGAACAACTGAGGAAGAGTCAGGCTGGCTTACAATGATCTCAACAAACAAGACCATCCAGAGGGCTTCAAGAGGTGCACACCCGGAACAAAAATGCAGGCCGTCTTCCTTCAGGTTTCCAGCTGCTTCTATCTATAGCTCTGCAGAGAGCTCACTCCCTCCCTGATTGATTTTCAAGACACTGGCCCTAACTCTCCCACCACAGCTGTGTTTGACAAAATTAGCAAATGGTGAGTCCTACAGAGCCATAAAAAAAAAGGGGCTCAAATGGAGCCAAGATTTCTTACAGTGCAGGGATCGTTCCTTGCCCAGAGAATTCCAGGATCAGATGCTGGGTCTGCAGCAACTGAATGAACACGTGGCCCCCACAACCTGTGAAATGCTATACTCTTGGCTAGGCAAGGGCAAGTGTCAGCTCTAAATAGTCATGGTGAGATATACTTTCCCTTTTCTCTCCCTTGAACATTTCTTATTGATCTCAGGCTTCAAAATTAGTGAAGTAAGAATTAGGGGGAAAAAAATTAAGGGGTTTTCAAAGAGTGAAGGGCTAGTGTTTACCTACCAGTGCGAGGCGGGGATCTCAAGCCTTCATATCATAGTCCCAACCAGAGAACAAATACAAAAATAAACACATGTTATACATAATACAAAGTGTAAATCTACAAACACAAGTGTAATAATTACGAGTTGTTCCCCTCCAGTCCCTGGGAGAGGAGGTGAAATGGGGACGGGATGGTTTCGGTTACGTCTTGTCACGTCTTAGGTCCGTGATAACAGTCTCAGTAGCGAAAACAATCTTATGTGAAACCAGAAGCTGTAAAAATAAATTACTTTTGAAGAGACACAGCTCCTCTGTCTGCAGCTCAGAACTCATCGTGTCGTACTAAGGCCTCCCCGAAGTCTGTGGCCTGGCTGCCCACAAATAAATCATACTTGTCAACAATTTCCTCCTTGGTGAGCTTGCCGTCCTGAAATGAAGAGAGTGTGGTGAGCTGAGGCAGATTATTCTTCCCATTTCAAACAAACCTGGCTACAGAACAGGGGGGAGGCAGGATTTAAGATGCTAATGTCCATCAAATTAAACGTGAGCTCCCCTCTCACCCTCCTACACATAGAAAGAGAGAAGGAAAACAGCACTTAGGATATTTTCCTTACTAAAAAAAAAGTAAAAGTGGAAGACAGCAATAGCATAGCTCAAAGCTAGACAGGCACTGGTTTCCTAAGGATAAAACTCCCCCTCTGGAAGACATGTGGACAGGGCCTAGACAGCACTACGAGATGGTTCTGATGTGCTATGCAAATGCTTTGATGTGCATCAAATCACGGTCTAACTCCAGCAACGGAACTGACTAAATCTCAAGCAGGGTCCCCTCTCCACTTTGCTCCAGTCTACAGGGCAATCCCAAACGACGGGTTCAACACTCACCTCAGAAATGCCCTGCTAGGCCCCGAGGGAGGGCTGAGGAGTTTCCTGTTCTCACCTATTTCAGGACAAAGCACCTGGTGACCAAAGTAACTCAGAACACGCTGACTCTGAAAGAGCCTCCCAGTGTAGACCACACCAGCTGAGTGAATCTTCTGATCGCAAGTCTCTATCTTCACTAACTATCACCTTATTGTAAGTACAGCGTTCAACACTTGGGATAAAAGTGACAAGGCTTATGAAGTGAATACCTCAATGGCACTTCGATCAGGGTCCAGCAAAAGACCTAACTAATAGCGCATATATGAGCTGAGAAGGAAATAACTAGTATTCTGAGGACAGAACGGGCCTGTAATAGGCAAAACAGAAGAAAACAGCAAAGTCAAAAAGGAGGAAAGGAAATTCCCAGGGACAATGAGGACAAGTGACATTAGCAAGGCCTCCCACACAGGTTCTTTCTCCAAGACCACAAATATTAAATAGATCATTTATAAAAATGAGACTGGTAGCAACTTGTGCTACCTGCCAACTCCAGATCCTCGGTGAGAGGTGACTCCCAGTGCTCTATGGTCCTTCACAGGACTTTCCAGGCAATCCTCCAGAACCACACTCACACGGCAGCAGCCAGGCTGCCACGACCTGGCCAACTCACCTTGTTTTGGTCTGATTCATAGACCAGGTGTCTGGCTTCTGCCTCGGCATGATCATAGTCCGAAGGGAGGATCCAATCTTTGGTTTCTTCTTTGTCCATCTTCCCATCTCGATTTTTATCTCGAAACTCCACAAACTGCTCTCGCTCTGTCTTTACCCATTCAGGCTCATCAGTGTTCCCATCATGACTGTACATGTCACCTGCGTACACACATTCATCCAAGAGAAGGGTTGGTCTTCTTCCAGAGAACTGTGGCAAGCTAACCTGGCCTCAGCCTTTTCCATATGTCTATTTGGAACCCAAAGTGACTTCAAGGATATTTTAGGCCAGAGAGACTTGGGAATGCAAAGCATTTTCCTGGGGGTTAGTACAATAAAATTCACAGAAACAAGAGGCTAAGACTAGCATCAAGACTGAAAGATGAACTTTTCTAAGGTGGCTGTGGCCCATGTTTCATCTAAACCAAACTGAGAGGTCAAACCCTGGTTTCAGAAGTGCTGCTTCAAATTCTCAAGGCACTGAGTGTACTAGAAGGCGAAACAGTTCACATAAAGTCATTAAACTGACTGGTGTGGTCTTCAGTGGAGGAAAACAAATACTATCCAGGGTGCACTGGGAAAGGGGGTGACAGCACGTGGGCCACAGAGCTGTCTTCTCTGTCTCTCCTCTCAGCAATCATCCTTCTTCCAATTTATGTAAGAAAAACATTTGATGCCTGTACAAAATTACCACCATTTTTTTTTGTTATTGATATATTTTCAAAGTTCTTAGAGATACATGACCAACTATTTACAGATAAAATGAGATGATGGAGCATTATGTCAAAAGAAACTGGACATGGATGAGACAAGACTTTCCATGGGTTGATGGATGCTGGAGAGGGCACAGGTACATGGTAGAAAATTGTACCTGTGGCATATACTCTGCTTTAAGTATGCTAATAATCTTCTAGTGAATAAAAAAGGAGAATTAAACCTCATACCCAAGGCTTCTTATTTTACAAGTAGTCTCCACCTTATGATATATTCCAATGCTTTAAGGCAAAGACTAGATTTGTAAATATATTGATAAAAGGCAGTAACAATGGGGTAAGAAGTATTTGAATATGTATTTCATCTCAGAATTGACTTCTTATGCAGTCATCAGAATAGACCCCTGTCCTACACTGAGGACTAGTAAAGGAAAATACAAGAGGCAAAAAACAAAGGAGGCAAAGAATATTTGCTTATGATCTTGCAATAGGGCAGGAATTAGTACATTGCTAAAAATGGCAGACACTGGAGAAAATTTTAGCTTTATACACATGTAAAACACATTCACCCCTCACTGGAAGAAAAAACCTTCTACTCACTCTTCTCTAAAAGGCTCATTGAGTATCAGTGTGTCTTAAGTGAAGAAAAAAAAAGATAAATATTCAAGGACTATTATTAAGTGAAAGAAAAAGAAAGATGATAAATATTCAAGGACTATTAGTCATTTAAGTAGAATTACAATATAAAAGATTTGACAAAGTTCCAAGTAATAGAGGAACTTGTTCCATACAATTTAGAAGTCAGATGAGAGAGGCTGTGGTCTTTCATGCTTAAAAGAAGTTATTTCAGATAATGAACAGAAGTCTAGAAATAAGCCTATGAAACTCTAAACCAGGAGAGCACTAGAGCAAGTTATTACGAGTTAAAAGCATAGGAAATATAAAAATGTTCTGAATTTTTAAAAATGGACTGTTGGTAACAATCATATAGACAGTGTTTGTAAACTATAGTCTTCATTTCCTCTTGAATAATTTTTATTTCTATCACTAATTGTGAAAAAGGGTGCTCTGGTGACACAGTCCAGAGGGCGCAGGGCTCCTAACTCCAAGGCAGAGCCTCTTTAGTGGTTCAAGCTCACCAGCCCGCGGGAGAAGGATGGGCCATCGCCTTCTGTGGGATTTACAGGCTCCTAAAAACCTGCTGGAGGATCAGCTATGAGTCAGTTTTGACCAAAGGCAATGATGAGAACGATGAAACAATCTTTTAAACTACTTGGTCTTTATAAAGGTAATGAGCACATCTTAAAATTAAAGTTTGGGAGGAATCAGTCTAGAAAAGTAGAACCTGAAAAGTATCTCTAAAATAGACAACTCAAAAGGAAAATGGTGGGAACTTACAGAAAGAAATTAGAGACAAAATAGAAGCAGAACTCCGTGAAAAGGCCTAGGCTCAAGGAGCATCAGGAACTCTGTTACTTAGCCACACGTTCCTCTAGCCCTCACTCCTCTCTCTCAGGGTTTCCTGATGCTGGTATAGTCTGCCCCCACAGCTCTGTGCTGTCCACTCTACAACACATCCATGAGATGCTGCATCAGTGCAAACTCCGGGCTATTTGTACTTGACATGTGGCTGGTCAAAAGGAAGACACTGTGTGTGTAAATTACACTCAGTAGAGCAATAAACTTGGCTCAGGACAGTGCAGGCTTCAGAGCGGCTGTACACAGGGTCACTGTGAGTTGCAGGGGACTCAACAGCACACAATAACAGAAGATATCTATGTACTTAAATGCTCAGTATACCTTTATGTCTCTGTGTATACTAATGTATTGGACTTATCTACATATTTTATACTGGTGACATGTTGAAGTTATATTATTTTTTAATATTAGGTTAATAAAATAATTGTTGTGTATCATCGAGTTGGAACTGACCCATGGAGCTGACTCAGGCAGCTTTTCAGAGCAAGTTATTGGCACAAAAGACTATCCATCCTTCTACTGCAGAGCAGCTGATGGATTTGAACTAGGTGCCTTTGCGATTGCAGTGCATCTTCTTGTCACCAGGCTACCAATAAAATAATTACCGACATTCATTTATTATTTGTTTCTTTTCTAAATACAGCTATTAGAAAACTGAAATATTGTCCTGTGGCTCTCAGTCTATTTCCTTTGAACAGTACTGTCAGGGGCACGTTACCGTAACCCACAGACGGTCTGACTAAATGATCAGCTGAAAGTTGACCAGGGAGAATACAGTGATTTGAGGGGTGGACACATCTTCTGCAGTTTCTCAGTGTCTTTGAAGGAAAACACTAGAAACAGAGACTTACCAATATACTCTTCTAGATCGATAAACCCGTCGGCATTCTTATCGATATCCTCCATTGTTTCCTAAGACCACATAGAACAAAATGACTATTAGTCTGAGTAACTTGCAGGAACAGAGTTAAAACTAAGGCAATTAGACCACGCACATATTTACGACAAATTACAAAATGTGTGTGGTATTTTATCATGGGAAATGGCTGGTTATTTTTCCTAGCAGAAAAATCATACAAGCAGTAACCACCAGCCATCTGAGAGGGATAGACAGAGTGCTTGATGGGCTAAGCCATGAAGCCTGTGATGATTTGCCAGCTCAGGCCACGCTGAAGCCACAGGAACAGGAGCTGTGACCAGTCCGCCTCCAGTTAATCATTTATGTTACAGGTAACCACCTTCCATGAGAATTCTTCAGTATCACAGCTTCTTACCCAGCGTCTAACCACTGTTCACAAGAGATTTTAAATGAACAGGATTTCCCGCATATTTACACTATGAAGCCATTAATGGAGCTGCAAGATGCCTGACAGAAAGTATTACTGTGCTAAACACAGAGCCCAAGGCACCTAAAAGAAACCACTTGCTCGTGATCACAGAAAAGCAGAGGGACAGAGCTAGGACCGAGTCTGACCAGCATTCTCCAGTGCAACACCATTCTTCCCAATGCACAGGAAAGGTAAGGAGGAAAGGTGGGAGCCACAAGTCTGCTCTCACCTGGACCACAATATCCTTCATGTAGTCATACTCCTCCGGATGCAGGAAAGCGGTAAACTCCTCCTTCGTGGCGATCAAGTCTCCATCCTTGTCTGCCATTTTAAACCTCCGTTCATCTCTAACCATCATCTGTTTATAGTTAAATCCATCATCAGGGTCTGGGTCATCTAGAGAACAAAAACACAGATTCAATCTTTTAAAAGACTTCTATAGTCAATCAAAATGATGGGGGGGGGGAATGTTAATCCCAAGACAAACCCAAGTACTGAAACTTTGTTTTTAGTAAATAATCTTAGCATTCATTTTATATTACTTTTGGATTTGGAAACATTCAAAAACAAAACTAAATTAGGCACATTTCAATGTCTATGGATTTCTTTTTATTAAATGTATATAATATTGGTGCTGTTCTTATCAATTCCAGAGCAATCTTCAGAAAACCTGTTATCTGTTCTTTCTTTTTTGTGGTCTCAAAAGGAACATTCATAATTACTTTACCACATTACTTGGACCTTGTTTGATAATGAACACACACAACACTGAACCAGGTCAATATTTGTGGTAACTGTTCCCCACTGCTATCCAACACCTCCACTGCATCTTCTATTATGTCAAACCGAATCAACAACTTAGGTCTTAGGTTGGAAGTTGCAATGCGAAGCAACCACACTCACGTTCTACATCTGTAACCCCTTTATGATCAAGGTCATCCTGGGTCAGGGACTGCACTGAGCATCCATACTGCTGGGCACAACCGAGCTGGATATGGTTTTGGAAGTACTTTGGGCTTCAGGAAACTACCCACTTGTTGAAGCAACTCTAAGTCCTTCAGCCTTAATTTCTGTACTGGTGGAGGCCTGGCTGTGAAGCAGATGGAAGGCCCCTCGCACTGTGTTCCACACTTGGGAAGGAAGTGACCAGTGCGTCAGCTGGGTCCAGGAAGGGCTAACTCTTGATTACCAAGGTAAAATTACAGCAGAGTCACAGCGTTTTCCACTGAAGCTCCAGTAATCAAAGTGCTGAGGCAGGCCCAGGTTGAACATAAATGTCTGCTATTAAATACAGGGCCCTGCTCAATGAAGGCTTTTACATTAGACTATATCCAAATTGAACAAGGGCCTACCCATCAGTTCAGATGCTCACTGATACAGATGGCAGCTACCTATTCTCTGTAGAACAATCCTGAAGAAGAAAGCTTAGTTTCCTTAAGCTGAAAAAATTGGAATCTAGTTAACTGTATATGAAAGGAATACCTTTCAAACCTTGGTTGCTATGTGGACTAAATAAGGTAATAGATGTGAAGACACTTTGTAAAGTTAAGACATAGTAAATTAAAGATAAGATGATATTGTCCATACAACACATTGATCAAGTAAAAGAAGGTATAACACTCATTTTCAAAGAAACATAGGACTCTTTACCAGTTCCACCACACTGCTGGCTTTTCATACCGTGGTTCAGCCTGTCCACCTTTAAGCAGGGTTCTCTTTTTTTTTGTTTTGTTTCGGTGGCCTTGGCGTACAACATGGCCACTGAGCTTAAGTAGCTCATGAACAGGTGAACACAAAGATGAAGAGAAGGAAGAAAACCTCTGCTTTCAGTGAGAAGTGTCAATGCCCCTTACTGTCCTTGGAGGGCCCTAGTCACACTTACTACCCGCCCGCCATCCTCCTGTCCCAGTCAGGCTCTTGGTTTAGGCAGGGTGGATGTCAGTATTTCATACTTTTAACATGGTAGACATGGTGTTAATAATGTTCCTTTCAGGAAAGCAAATTCGCTGAGACAGGTTTTAATTAAGAATATGATGATGATGATGATTTATATCTGAATTAAAAATTGAGCCAGGAACATACAATGACAGTACACTCTGCACTTCTCTAAGCCAACTCATCGTGGCCCAAGAGCTGTCTGGGGAAAGATGCCTTATAAAGACATGGCTCCAGCCAGCACTGAGGCTTGTGCATCGTCTCGGTCAGAGAGCTGCCCATTCCACTGAATCATCAGCCCTGTGAGGTAACAAGGCTCTCAAGAGACTTTTATGCACATCCTCCTCCTCCACAGACTTTCAGATTCCTTCTGGGCAGCAAGTGAGTGTCTCGGCCAGTGCTGAAATTTATTAGCACACCACTTTGTTGAGATCACCAATAGCTGACCGTCTGCACTATGTGTTTGTAAGTACAGAGGCATCAGGAGGAGTTGTGCGAGCTGGAGACGAGAAGGCTACACTGGCTCTAACATGTGTTCTTAACTGGGTGAAAGCTAAGTTTGGTTCTTGTCATGCACTGAGAGTGAGTTCCACTTTAATCTTAGGAATGAGAACCAGCCTGACACAGAAATAAAGTCTCTTCACCAGAAATGCGTGCAGCTCTGTAATTAGCTCGGACAGCTGGCTATCCAGTGGGGAGCAGGCCTCACATACTCAAGTCAGCAGTGTATGGTGTCCATTTTAAACCAGAAATGTGCCTGGTTTCCAGGATGAGGTCGTAAAATGTCATCTACATTCTTGTCTCAACTTGGAACTATGTACAATAGAGGCGATGTAACTCCCAGTGACATCCACCATCAGTTCAGGAAGATCGCCACTTAGGCTTCAGCAGTGGGCAAGGGCAGGAGAAAGAGGAAATCACTAACAGGTGGCCCGTGCACACAACCACCAAACCAGCAGAAAGCAATCCAAGTAACATTTATTTGCCTGGAAACATTTGCAAAGCAGGCTGGTAAACTCATGTGCCAGAGAAAACAAATGGGAAACCTTTGATTCCAAACTCCAGTACATAGACAGACTATACTCAGATGGGGGACTTTTAACAAGGAAAATGACTTTATTTGATATTTTCATTCTATTAAGACAGCCATTTTCCTCCTCTCTTTGCCAGTCATAAAGTATTCTCATTTGGTTTAAAATCCAGGACTAACATCCTAAGGGGACCAGGTTACAAGGAAGCTCAAAGCCTCTCACTTTGCATTGCTGGAGCAACGCGGGCTTTGTAAAGGAGATTTACTCCCCACAGGGTCTCTGTGAGAGTGGACAGACGGACAGCTGAAAAGTTAAAGATGGAGAAGAGATAAAAACCTTCATACAACATTGAAAAAAAATGCACAGTATGTGAATGTTCATATAATGAAACAGAGGGACACTGGTTTAAACCACTGTGAAAAAGCACCATTTCTTCCTTCCTGTGACCCATTTGTTTCTTTGACTCAGGACCATGGTCTGTGCCAGGCTGACATCTTGCCCCTTACCCAGGTAAGTGCCATAAGTCACGTTTCTGTACTCATCCCAGGAGATTAAGCCGTCTTGATTCATATCAAACTCCTGCCATTGGTTTTCAACATTGTCATATATGTATTTCTTCTGGGCGTGCTTAATCCAGGATTTCAGCTCCCCCTCGGTCACAAACCCATCTTTATCCGCGTCTATTTTATCTACAATCATTCTACAAGACAAAATAGTTACGTTTCAAGGTGCCGGCTCCACAAGGCTTTTCCCCCAGGTAGCAGGGACCTACCTAAAACGTAGCCGTAGGTGGCATTTTTATACTCCTCCCAGGAAACGAGGCCGTCCTCATTGAGGTCATGCCCCTTCCGCTGCCGCTCTACATCCTCGTAAATCCAGCGCTTTTGTGCAAACTTAATCCAGTCTTTGAGCTCGTCCACAGTGACAAACCCGTCCTTGTCGCCATCTATTTTACTTACAATCTTTCTGTAGAAAATGCAGAGAAATCCAGCAAGAGGTTAAAAGGACACAAGGCTCCTGATTTAGCCGTGTGTGCCGTGACCACAGGTGTTGTCCAGGGCAAAAGCACAGGAATGAAAAAAATTTTGGGCCTCAAAACTAAACTGTAAAAGAGGCAACAGAAGTTTTTCTCTCAAGTGGCCAAGGACTGGCCTGTAAGAAGGCCCCTGGAAAGGCAGCTTGTCCACTGGAAGCTGGACCCCTCCATCAGGTCAGTGTCAGCCTGAGATCCGAGTTCACAGCCAGTGACTTTCTATCTGCGTGTCTCTTTGGTTTTCCACTGACAAAATTCATGCAAATCTTAATATTTTCCTTTACTGTTTTTAGACGAGAACCCACTTTAATGGGAGTTCTGCTGGCCTAGTGTGAGAAGCTGCACTGCAATACCAAATGCATGTGGTTCGAATCCACCAGCTGCTCCATGGCAGAAAGTTGAGCAATCTCCTGTCATGTGATGTACAGCCTCTGAAAAGCGACTGGATGGTCGATTATGGGTAGGTTCTGACTCCATGGTATACAACAACAGCAATCATAATCATTGGCATGATTGCCTCAAAAGTGAAAATATTTAAAAATATAAAAGCCAGTCTGGGACCACATATTTTAAGGGAAGATTAAAGACAAAAAACAAAATAAGCATGCAAAGACACGAGGATGTTGATCCTAAAAAAAAAAAAAGAAAAAGAAAAGAACAGAAATGGCCAGTCTCTTAACAATACACTGGGATGCTGAACTGGATTGTTACACACAAGCATGATGTGGGGAAATGATGTAAGGATACTATGTTGTGAGAATCTTTGACTATGAGAATGTTAGTAAGCTGTAAGGATATTATGTTGCGAGAATCTCTGACTATGAGAATGTTAATAAGCTGACAGGGTTAGCAGGCAGAGATAAAGACAACTGTCATTCAGGTATAATATACATAGATCTTTTCTCCTGTTGTGCGTGTTCTTCTAAATTTGAAAACTTAATTTACGGATTTCAAAATATATCCATGGTTTCAAAATCTCTAGAGTAAGGTTGTGCTCTGTTCACCGGCTTGCTGTAAGCTGCAGTTGACTTGATGATACCCAACAACAAACTCAGAAAAGGTAAAACCACCAATGAACAGTCACACATGTGGTCCAGTTTACAAATGCTTTAAATAAAAACTTCCAACAGAAGTCATTCCTTGGCATACTCCTATGCTGTTAATCGTGGAAGGAAAAAAGACTCACCTGGTAGCAAATAATGTTTTTCCCAGTAGCAAATAATACTTTTCCTCAGCTTGTGTTCATGTGATTTGTACAACACAGGTAAGAGACTAAAATCGAGTACTAGTGAACCAGGTACAGATTTAGCTTAATTCTGATACAGTGTTAGATGTATCCATTTATTACTAAACCCTGTAATAGATATTTTCCTAAAAACTAAAACAATTACCAAAAAACAAAACTAAAAACACTACCCACAACACAAAAATATGTATAAAGCTAATAGCTTTTGGTCTAAAATGTTGACAGACAAGACAAGCCAGTAAGAACCACCTCTAAATAATTCTCCCTTATCCACAAGTGCAACTCTCCCCCAACTTTGATTTTGAAGAGTTTTAACAATACAAGCAAAATTATACTAGAAGTGAAAACTCCTAGTGGAGTAGTATGTAATGTGTGTGTGGTTGCTGATCAAAAGGTCAGTGGTTCTAAACCACCAGCCACTCCATAGGAGTAGAGTGGACGGTTTCCTCAAGTAAGGATTAATAGCGTAGGAAACCCACTGGAGAGGCACTTTGAGTCAGACAGGACTTGTAGGCAGGAAGTTGTGTAAGCATCTGCATTTTCTGTAACGGCATCCAATTTGTGCCCACATGGTACTGGCTACCAACAGCAGCACTGTGCAATTAAGCCAAAGAAAACATTTCCCATTGTCAAGAGAAATTTCTCAATTACCACAAAGAGTTTAAAGAAGATCACCCAGATTTAAAAAAGAAAAGCGCATATGGGTGTTCAAGATGGGATTTCTTAAATTATTCTAGTTGAATACCATTCTATTTATTTCAATGGAAATATTCCAAGTGCCTTACCCAGGGCATGGCAAGGTAAAGTCAGTTCAGTGGGCTTTGTGGGCCGTAGTGCTGTTGCACGCTGCTCTTTTCCAAAGCCCTCTGAATTGTGTGGCCATCCAGCCAGTAGGCAGCTGTGACGTTCACCAAGCCCTGTCTCAGTCATGAAGCTCTATAAACTCTCCTCCTCCAAAGTCTGTGTAAATGTTGGTGTGTGTTCCTAGGACGCTGGTGAACTCTCCGAACAGCTGGCCGCCACTAGAGGAGCATTTCCTCAAGGACAGACATGAGGTACTGGAACTCGATTTCTCCTAAAAGGTAACACATGCTTCCACATACCAAGTGACAGAAAACAAATCCCTTTGTTTTGTTAAGAATCTTGGTCAACAGATGGACTCCAGGAGGGTTCATAAAATGAGTGATTTTCAGTATGCAGAAGTGCATGGTGTTGGAAAGGATACACTTCTCTGAGGAACCACCTTTAGCCTAACTAGACTCCTGAAGGGTAAGTATGTGACTCCCGGGGAGGATGATGACCTACTATAGCTTCTTTCTATAGCCAGTATCTCATATTTTTCCTTATTAATTTTAATGAATATTTAGTGACTTTGGATTTCCATTCATTGTTGCATTTTTCTAAAAATCTCATTTTTTTATACCAAGACTCACCATCTCAAAACAAACAAATCTTCACTTGAAATACACAGAAATGAGAATGGAGTATATTCAGACTGCAGCTTTGGTGGTAGTCTATGTGGCTGGTGCACTGCTAACCAACAAACTCCCATCTCTGGCTGCTCAAAGCAGCTGCTGTACAGGGGACAGACGGGAGATCTCTTCCTGCTAAGATTTACAACCTTCGACATCTGATGGAGGGTCATGAGGCATCAGAATCAACTTTATGGTGGTGAGTATAGTTCTTTTGGGGGGCTGTGGTAAGAATGAAAATACATAAAATATTCTACCTGCATTTTTTTTTTAATTAAAAAAAGGAAGAGAAAACTGGGTATCAAAATTGTTTCTAAAAAATGCTTCTAGTGGTCTTTTAGTAGTGTGGTGGTTTTTGTTTTTGTTTTTTTAAGATTTGAAATAGTAGTATTTTCCAAGTGCAGCACAAATAAATGACCTTATCTCTGTAAGTTGCCTTGTAGACAGATGGGAAAAATGGCAAATTAGATGTTCTCAATCTCTGGTTATACCATTAATTAAAACAAAAAGTATAGAAACATCACAGTGATTAAGTAAAACACATGTCACTGGGATTCTTGTCACTTAACATGTCACTGTATAAACTAGGGCAATTTGTCACAATTCTAAAATCTAGGAAAACAAACAGTACTTAGCTCACTGTTACATTTCACAAAAAACATGTTTTTTTATCATCTTATTTCTAACCTAACAAAGGAACTGCTCATGTATTGAATTTTTAAATTTAATGATAACAAAAAAATGTTTCTCTTCTCTGAGGAACTGCCAATGGATCATTTTATTTCTTTCAAAGAGCCAATTAGTGACAGTATGGTCTATCCTAAAGGCTTCCAAAGAGCAGCACCTTATCTCATTCTTGAGAAGAGTTCTGTGAAGAGGTGAGTGCAGGCGAGAATAAAGGCTGGACATGCATGAAACTACAGGACACAACACGAAGACGACAGCACCCTAATTCACCCTATTCTCAGGCTGAAATGTTAGCACAGTTCAATTAAAAGTGAGAATGGCCTCTGAAAGTTAGAAAAACAACTTAATATAAGATTGAGTCTTTAATGTAGTTTATCTTCTCAATATCTACTTTCAAACGTTTGGGATGGTTGCTCATTCTACACAGCAAAATCCTTTCATAAATTCTACTATGTCAAAGAATAAAATAGTCTACCCTAAAATCAGCAGGTAACCCAAAAGAAGAATAAATTTCTTCTAAGGTTTTTTCCAAAGCATATGACGTAATAATGTCTTATAATCATAGCACTACTGGATACTATTATGCCTGGAGAATGCTGTACCCTTCCCAGACAAAATTCTTGAATATAAATGCAGTTCAGAAAATTGTCCTAAAGTGCTTAGTCAAGGAGACATTTTTCACACTTAAAACAAAGCAAAACAAAAACCCATTCTCAGATGTCCAGCGAGAAACAGCCTACTGGGATTGTACCGAATTGATTGTTTCAGATTGTTGTCACTGTCAGTTGCTGCCGACCTGATTAACTCATGGTGGTCCCAAGTCTGCAGAGCAGAACTGCTCAACAGGGGTTTTGAGGCAAGGACTTTCCAGAAGCAAACTGACAGGCCTAATTTCTGAAGCATCTATGGATGGGTTTGAACCACTCATCTCTGGGTTAACAGTCTAGTTATAACCCATCTGTACGACCCAGAGACTTCTTTTTAAATGTTGCCTGCTAAGGGATATAGAACACCCGACCATGGCACAGCTGTTACTTAAACAGCGGCTCGTATTCTACTAAGGCTATGAAGACACCTGATTGGTGCAGTCTTCTAAGATGCAAAGTTGGCTGGTTCTTTAACTAAGCAAACAGCTAAGAATGAAAGCAAAATGGTCAAGGGTATCTCAGGAAATTATAAACTTCACAGCAATTAGCCTAAAGGTCCAATCTGCAACTTAGCTGCCTCAAAAAGACTTGGCTTGGGCAACAATAAACAGATGATAGACGTTTTTAAAAATTAAAAGCAGAGATGCAAAATCTCACCATTTAACATTCTTTTGGGATAAGTCCCAGCAGTTCAAGCTGGGTCTGATAGTGTTTGATACTTGACACAAAATGACATTGCTTTGTAGAATGAGGTGAGCATTGTTATTCAATGGAGAAATGCATAAAAACAGGCTCTTGAGTTTTATAGGTAGCAATTCTGTGGTTAGATTTTAGAAGATATAATTCAACACAGCTTTCCTAGGCAACTGAGCAAAAGGGAGTGAAGAGAATGAGATGATTGTAAGAGCATCATTCCCCTGACCAGTCCCTTCCCCACCTCCGCCGGCCGAGAGGGGCATCTCACCCAAGTCTTTCTTTGCTCTCTTCTGGGGTCAGCTGATCAAAGGTCTTTGCTTCTTCAGCACCCAGGAAGGCATCGTGGTCATAATCAAAGCTCTGAGCATCATTGTGAACCTTGTCGCTGAGCTGAGGCTCATGGTGGACCCGGTCCTTCTTCTCTGTGGGCTTGCTCAAGGCACAGGCTGTGCACAGCGACAGGCACATGAGAAACTGGCGCAGGTCCATGGTAACCAGATCTAAACGAGAACGAGAGACACCTATTCATGATCTAGTACATTCAAGAACAAGACAAAAATGAAAACTCAAATCTCATGTGATACACAATCTAAACAAGTTATTGGTATTATCCTCAAATGTTATTACATAATCCACAAAGATTCAAACCGCAAAATGAAATCAAATGCTCTCCAGTGGATTCCTATGCATGGTGGCGCTTCATCAGATTCCCGAAGCTGTAAATCTTTACAGACACAGACAAGTTCACCTGCTCCTGCAAAGAAGCTGGTGGATTCTACATCTCTAGACAGTACCCAGGCCCGTCGGCATCATCTCCAGAGACCAAACCTTTCAATAGGATGGTCGGTCACGGGTGACAGCGCTTCACCCTTCTTTTCAGTAGTGCTTCCCATGTTGTATGGCTGTGAGAACCACCTGCAGGACTTAAGAACAAGTGTAGATTCTCAAGCCCTAGTCTATACTCCCCAAGTATCAGCAGCCACAGGTTGAGTCTTATGAACAAGCACAAGGACGGGACACTATTTAAAACTGCAAGAGTCTCGTTCTCTCCCAAACACTGCAGACAGGTGCAAAAGTGTTATCAACAAGCACTCGTATTATGTAATACAGCTATCATAGAGGACTGTTCAAAGAGATGAAGATTCTAGAGAAAAATGGAAAAATTAAGACACAAAAGAAAGGATTTTAAATCGCCAACCCCCTCTGCCTCACAAGCACAAGTTTTTTTGCAGTTTTACATCATCTTTGACTCATCTCCCATATAACCAGGTCTTAGGGAGTAAGGTTATAGGTAGAGGGACACTTTCCCACAGAAATTAAATGCATTGTTGGTGCTTTTAATGAGTCTTCCTCCAATACTGATGCTGACTTCTTCACACAGTACTGCTGCCTAAAATTACTACTTCAGCATTCAGATTGAATAAAGAAGGTGAAAGGATACAACCCACCCCACGTCTCTTCCTCTTTACATCTGGCCAAACAAGAGTCTACTGACCCATGAACAGACTCTGCATCAATACAATTTACAATTCTGGAATTCCCATTCTTTGTAATGTCACCTAACAGTCTGTTACGATCCACAGTCAAATGCCTTTGCACAGCTGACAAACACAGGTAACCATCTTTCTGGCATGCTCTGCTTTTGGCCAAGAGCCATCTGGCAGCAGCAGTAATGTCCTCGGTTCCTAGTCCTCTTCTCAGTCCAGCTGGAATTTCTGGCAGTTTTTTTCTGAATTACCTTCAGTCTATTAATCTTTCTTACTGAAGATAAATGCATTCCCTTGGTTTAATCTTGTAGATTAAAGGAAACCAATCAGATTTAATTTCCCCCAAGAAGTCACAGAGACTAGTGGAGTTGGTTCAAGGGCTCACACTGTTATATGTAAATGTTTTAAAAATAAGATTAATTCTTTCAGCAAAATTTCTAACTCATTGTGCAATTCGGGCTGCAACTTATAGAGTGAGTTTTCCTTAGTGTAATTCTATTCTGACACATGAAGTTAGCACCAGTGCGTGGAACCACAAGAAATGAAAACCACATGGGAGATTGCTCATCGTTCTTCTCAGAGTTGCTGACGGATCCGAACCATTACAGAACCATGATCACTGGATTAGTAATGCAACTCCCTCTGAGCAGGCCACCAGAGCTCCCTGAGGGCTACCAGAGAGGTTATAAAGAATGGGGGGAGCCATGTGTGCTGGAACAAAAATCTCATCAAGACATGTTAAGACTAGGGCAGGCTGGCAAGAAGGTGAACGTCATGGTGTACTCTGCTGTGCTGTGAAATATTTTAAATGAATGTGTACTCATATGTATTATGTTTTCTGGTGTCTTTCTTCAGTAACAGATGGCAAAAGATTAAAAAAAACCTCAAGCTCTTTCTTCAGAATGAAAGAAGAAATCAAAGAAAAAGTGTGTTTCAATCCTAAAGACATAAAATAAACCTTATTTTTAAAAGTAAAACAAGCTCCTGTAGAAAAATAGCTCTGGTCCCCAGCTCCACTGATGAAACAAAATAGCAAAGAGCAAATTAAATCTCGGGATTTTAGGGGGCTCCCTTCAGTATATTGCCAAAATAATACTTTTAAAGTACAAACAAGACAAAATTTCAGCGACAGAATTTTGTGTTGATGTTCTGTGATATATCCAAACAGTATCTATAATGGTGAATGCTTACAGAATCTAGTGAAATTAATAAAAGCCACTTTGTCAAATGATTTTTTTAATAAAGGAGTCTTCACATTCACAAAATATATAAATGATAAATTTTATCTTCAAAATAAAACACAGCACAATATCCTAACAATTCTGGCAAACACCAAATATTACAAAATACATACTTTTAAGCCCATTATCACCACCTGGTGGCCTAGTGGGTACAGGGAGAGTTCTGTTGTTAACCTGAAGGTGGCGCCTCTGGCAGTTCAAATCCACCAGCGGATCCGTGGAAGAAGGATGGGCAATCTCCTTTTTCAAGGTTTACAGCCTTTAAAGTCACTGGAGATTCAGCTATGAATTGGTTCCAACCCAAAGGCAGAGTTGGAGGGTATTTTTAAACCACCAACAGAGTGTGCAGAATTTATATGTAACAATGTATGTAACAAACAAGAACACAGAACATCTGATTCACTGTGATTTAGAAGGAAAACATTTAAGTTGGAGGCTTAACATCCTGAATTCAAGACAATAAAAATCAAGTAATCTGGTTTTATCACTTTACTCTCTCATTTAAACTTCCAATCTCATTGCTCTATTAACTCGCTGAATCAATCTCAATTGAACAAGGCAATGCGTAAGAGAATTCAAGAGAGTAAAAACCAAGTAATGCGGCTTTATCACTTTCTCTTTTCCTCCCTCATGTAAACTTCCAGTCTCTGTAAGTCATTGCATTCGTGTCAATTCTAACTTAAAACAAAGCTAGAATACAGAGGGTCAGAAATCACAGGGTTCTCAAGACGCTAAGTCTTTGTGGAGGCAGAATGCCACTTCTCACTCTCTAGTCTGTCAGTATTTTTCAGGTCTCCACAACCCCCAAATCCGTCCTTCTTAGACTCTGTTACTCCACCATGCTTGCTACTCCTTCTCCCTCGTCCACAGAGCTCTCCAGTTACCTGTACTGTCTGTTCCTTACTCCCAGTGTCACCTTGAAACAAGGCTTTCTATCTTGCTGTTTCACAGCCACCCACTCACCTCCAACTCACTGCACAACAGAAGGGAATGACTTGTCAGGCAGGCCACTGTGAGCCAAAGGCGTTTCCCTGGCGGATTTTCTGAGGATTGCCAGGCCTTTCTTCCTAGTCCACCTGGTATAATAAACACTATGTCAAAGTAGATGCTCAGAGGTTTCTGATGGCCAGTATTTCAGAAGAAGAGTGCCAGGCCTTCCTTATCATGGTGCTTTTGGGCAAACCTGAACTGGCTTTGTACATAACCAGCGAGGAAACCATCTGCCTTCAAAGGGTCCCCAAGGACGTGGTAGACAAAGCCTCTGGTCTACCTAGTTGTCTTGATCTGCTATGAGAAATGAAAAAGTACACTTGTAAGTAGCTTCTACCTTTGAAAAATTTTATTTTAAACACAGGCTCTCTGTACTCACATATACTAACTCTGGGTTAGGAGAAACATCAACAAAAGGCCTCTGGTTTTATGAATAGGCACTAAAAGAAACATTCTAAAAGTATCTAATCCATACACACATAAGAATGTTCAAACAAACAAACAAAAATGAATGTTCAAACAGAAAAGAAACTTTTTGTGGGAAGATGTGAGTAGAGAGTACAAAATATCCCTTTACATGAAACATTTAAAGAACAGTTGGTACATAGTTCACTTCTGAAAAATGTTTCTCTTTCAACTAAACTGAAGCCAAATTATGTGACGTTAAAGGGCCCTTCTCTTGCCTGCCTTCTTTCCATAACTAAATCTCAAAAGATAACAGAATATTGGGGAAAATACAATATCAGCATCTGATACATGATTTTCCACTAAAATAGTATTTTAGGTACAGGTGACCCTTGAAAAGTATGGGCCTACTTACAATTTTTTTCTGTTGCTGTTCCGATGAGCTCAAGTGTTGCTTATTATCTAAGCCTCCATGGAGAAAGGCGTCACTCAGATGACCTGCCTCACAGTTTTATGGGGATGCTCAGCATTGGAGCCCTTGAAGTTCAAACTCTTGTATATTAGGTTAAACATATTCTCAACCCCTCACCTTTTTTGTGTACTGTCAAATCAGATCAGACTGTCACAGGAGATTTCCCCTCCTTCTCCAGCGGAGCATCTGGTGGATTCAAACCATGTGCCTTTGCGATTACAGCATAGCTTCTTGCCACTAGAACTCCCTAGAGCTCCACTAGTCTTAAATTTCATCGGTTTCTTAAGTTTTTATATGGTGACTAGCACATTTAAAATGACGCACGCTTTATTCTATTTCTGCTGGACAGTGCCAACAGAACTCGTAGATTTAAAATACTAGAGAATCAAACTAAAGGGTCAGAATAGAAAGATATCAAGTACTCATCATCCAAGGAGTGCCGAAGGCACTATGGTAAAAGTGCTCGGCTGGAAGTGGGACATCAGTGCTGGAACCCACCAGCCAATTGGCAGGGCAGAGATGGGGTGGTCTGCATCCATAAAGATTTACACTCTTGGTAACCCTATGGCACAGCTCTTCTCGGTTCTATAGGGTCACTCTGCGTTAGCATGAACTTGACAGCACTGGGCTTGGATTAGATTGTTTATCTCACCCTTTGCTGTATGCCACAATGGTCTGTGAAGTTGTTTTCATGAACAGCAGTATTTATAAAGAGAAATGGGATAGGTTGATTTTTTTTTTTAAATAACAATGGTGAATCTCCAGCAGTTTATTTTATTCATTCATTCATAAACTTCTTAGAAAGTTCTAAATTCTTAACATTTTCCTCTCTTTCCCACCCAATCATTTTTGGTAGAAATCCACTGGCCACAGAACACTGATGAATAATTTGCTTCAGGG